ATTCATGCTTCATCCATAAAAAAATTCACATAATTTAATAATTTACACCAGTAAGTCATGTTTATTCTCAGTCGAAATCGACGAGTCTGTTTACATGCAGGAAAAATCATGTCCCGTGAGTTTTGCCACAACAATGGATCTTTGGAGGCATTTGTCAGGAGATTAGTGAGTGTTTCATGTTTTGTGTACAAGATAGATCAGCAGCTACACATTACACTTATGCCGATAATCACAGCACACATCCTGCTGGGAACAACAGTCATGTCAGATCAATGGAGAGCATATAATGCAATTGGCACCACTCCGGGATTGACTCATCAAATGGTCATTCATTCAATTAAGTTTTTGGATCCAAACTTAGGTGTCAATAGCCAATACCCAAAGCATTGTGAACGTTTGTGATTGTGGAAATCTGCAAGAGAGAGAAACAAGCGCCACAATGGCACACACAGACATATGCTCGATTTGTATATGTGTATTCATGTGGACATGTGGCATCAACGTGTTAAAGTAAATGGTTTTTATGTCTTCAACGCAATTCTAGACGATATTGTTCAATTTTGGCTACTACAGTAGCGGAGGACCTTTAAAGAAGTAATAAGTATGTTTTTATTCTAAATAACATTTGTTTTATTGGAAGTGTGAAATAATGTATAATAATTTTTGAATTAAACGTTTTTTAGGCTAATTCAGATTGATTAGGTTTATGGATACATTTTAGTGTTCATGTTAGGTTTAGGGATACATTTAGGGTTCAGGTTAGTTTAGGGATACATTTAGGACATAAGTTCGTGGGTCATGATAACCAAGATGGCGGCCGCGAGTTGATCTCTCAGAATTGTTTTTGGCTTTTTTTTGTATTCAAAAGAACATTTGTTTTATGGGAAGTGTGAATAATAATAATTTTTGCGGTGAATTAAAATTGAAGTACCCATTTCTGATACCAGGTCCGAATAGCCGCAGCCAAACTTTTCATTACAATTACAGATAAGACAGTAGCCGATTTGCCGCCAAAAAAAAAAAAGCAACTTTGATCTTGAATGATGTCATGTTAATGATTATAGAACTATATTTAAAATAGAATTTAAAAATACAATAAAATTATAAACATAAACGTATTCTTACTTGCTTTTAAATGTATGTCAAATTGTTTCTTCAACGCAAACATGAAATTCTTCAAAACATGGCACGTTTTTCGATTGATAACAATGGCTCTAAGTTCTAAGATGGCAAACAAACAGGAAGTATCCGTCATAACTATCACGTGACCAACCGAATAATTATAAAGCCCTCACGTGACCAGCCGGATCCGAATAGCCAATTGCTGCTATAGGTACCCGGGTACCTATTAGCCACTCCGTTTTTAAATAGCGAAATAAGCGAACTTAGCGGGTTTTGATTTTAAAAACTAGTAAAATATTGTGAAATAGCACTTCATAGATGAGCCAAGGGGACTAGACTCTAACTAATTTTTTTTCAAAAAATCGACTTAGCAGGGTTTGCAATTGGACTCCTCAATTATAGAACTGTATGAAATAGTTTGTGAGTCCATACGATCGGTTTAGAAGTTGTTGTTTTTGTTTTTTTTTTTAAATATGTTGTTCTGCAATAGGCATTGATAGTTCTGCGTTGTAAGTCAAACAACGATCAGATTATATGGTCGAAGATCTTTGTGTTCACCGCCATTTAGATATACGTAACCAGGCATTTGACTTGTTTAGATGTACGTAACCAGGCAACCGACTGTATAACTTGCCGTTATCGTCATGAAAATTACCTTACGCTATTTGGAGGAGGAAATTTAAGAACTCCTCGTCCTTTAGGTCGTTTTTTTTTTTTTTTAATGAACCCTCGTGTTGACTCTCAACGATCGGAGCTGGACATGACGTCATTGGTGGGATGGCTCAAGACAGGCTTTGACCTCACCCGAAAGCGTTCCCGGCAGAGCCGGTCCGACGTTTGCTGGCGCCCTTTTCAAGCTTAACTTTGGCGCCCCTTATAAGTATAATCATTAAAGGAAAAAACTAGTTATTTGGTAATGAGATTATTACATATGTTGTTTTTTTCTAATGCCGTACAAACTTTGGGCTCACCATTAACTCAAAAAAAACTAAGGTCATATACCAACCAGCTCCTCGAAGCCCTTATGTTGAGCCCAACATCCAAGTATATGGCGAAAGACTTAAGGTGGTGAAAGGCTTTTCCTATCTCGGCAGCACACTGTCCCAAAGCACAACCAACGATGACGAGGTTAACCTCCGTATTGCTAGGGCCAGAGCAACCTATGGAAGATTGACTAAGAACGCATGGACTAGGAGAGGTATCAACACACAAACTAAACTGAAGGTATATCAGGCGGCTGTTCTCCCTACGCTTCTCTATGCCTGTGAAATGCGGACGGTCTACAAACGCCATGCAAAATGCTGAACCACTTTCATAAATCAAGACTCAAATCCTCAAAATTAAATGGCAGGACAGGGTCCCAGACGCTGATGTGCTCACACGGGCTGGTCTCCCCAGCATCTTCACAATTTTGATGAAGTCAAAGCTTCACTGGGCGGGACATGTTGTGAGAATGTCAATTGACCGTCTTCCCAAAAGAATTTTATATGGTGAGCTTGAACAAGGAAAGCGGTCTGCTGGCAGGCAGAAAAAAAACGCTTTAAAGACAACATAAAAGCCTCACTGAACGCGTTCAACATAACCCCAGACACGTGGGAGGAACAGGCAAAGGATCGAACTTCATGGCGTTCCACTTTGCACAGGAGCTCCATGCAACATGAAGTTGGTAGAGCAGCGGCTGCAAGAGACATGCCAGGAAGGCCCGGTCTGACCTCTGCTCCCGGGTATGCCCCGTCATTCCCCTGCACCTACTGCACAAGAGAATTTTGTGCCAGAATCGGCCTCATTAGCCATCTGCGCACCCACAGACAGAACCAGCACAAACTCTTTGATGGTTAAGTGGTCATGGTCGACTCCCGACTGGCGAACAACATATATATAGGCCTATATGTATATAATTATGTAGTATAGCATCCTTGGGGTCATTCGCAAATTATATCACGCTAAGAGGGGAGGAGGGGGTCGAGAATTTGTGACACTTTGTGACAGGGGGGAAGGGGGGGGTCAAACATTTGTGACGTCACTTTTTTTTTTTTTTTTTTTTTTTTTTTTTTTTTTAAATCTAAAATGTTCTAAATTTGAAACAAAAATCTTTATTTTAATTAATTTTAAAAACATTAATTTGAGGTCGATATTGCCTCGGGTATTATAGGTACTATCAAACTCAGTTTTCTAATAATACTACATATGGGAAAACATTTTAAGAATAAATAAAATCTTAGTTTAGTTATCAACATTTTATGTGTTTTGAGATTTTTGTAAGTGTGACGTGACTCGGGGGGGGGGGGGGGTCTATTAGGGTCATTTTAGCATGACGGCATTTACGAACGACCCCCTTCCATCATCGCGATCTAATAATACTACATATGGGAAAACATTTTAAGAATAAATAAAATCTTAGTTTAGTTATCAACATTTTATGTGTTTTGAGATTTTTGTAAGTGTGACGTGACTCGGGGGGGGGTGTCTATTAGGGTCATTTTAGCATGACGTCATTTACGAACGACCCCCTTCCATCATCGCGAGACGATGGAGTAGCTATGTACACTTCCAAGAACATAAATATATAATATATATTTTATATATATACATATATATATAATGACTAATGGGAGCATGTAAATTAGTGATGTGTATTAACTACTAGACCGCAAAGTTGAAACCCTTTTGGCTTAATTTGATCATGCAAAGCATGCACGCTATCTTGAAATATGAAATGAGGTAATTAGCTAATTTTTAGTTCAGTGGTTCTCAACCTTTCTAATGCCGCGACCCTTTAATACAGTTCTTAGTGTTGTGGCGACCCCCAACCACAATATTATTTTCGTTGATATTTTATAACTGAATAGTATATGTGTTTCCAGATGGTCTTAAGCGATCCTTGGGAAAGGGTCGTGTGACCCCAAAGGGGTCGCGACCCACAGGTTGAGAACCGCTGCTTTAGTTGCACTATCAAGTTGTGAAAATTCCATTCACATTGCATGAAATGTATCAAACATTCAAAGATACGTAATCCAACTTTAACTAAAAGACTTGAAAAATATGAATAGCTTCCCCTTTCTTTTATTTTTTTTTTTTATCTCATTGAAATATAATTAAATATATATTATTAGCTATTTCAACATAATTTTGACAACACTTTATTTATTTGAAGTAAATAAATAAAATTTCTGATATAAAAAAATAATATGGTTTTATTGTTGAAAAACAATTGTAACCCAGGTGCAGATCCATTGTGCTAAGACTAGTAAGACTAAGAAGTTGCAATTCGCAATTTAAGACCAGTCCTCCTGCCAACTGAATTGCCCCTCAGTAACCTAGTCATTTTGTATTACACATACTCTTTTATTTCATACATGCCTAAATTGTACATAATTTTGTTTTTAATTGTATTCACCAATGTTTTGCATTCTACTGAGAGTACAATGTAACAATAATCTGGGTTGAGACAACGCGTAAATAGATAAAATGATTTATAAATTCAGTTATTTTCATTATTATTATTATTTATTGTACTATTATAATTACTTGAAAGTTTCAATATAATCTGTTCCCCACACACTCAGGGGCGTCATTTGGGTAGGGCGCAAAGTGGGGTAGGGGGTCGGATTTGCCCCTATCAATTAGCAGGTTTTATATAAATTGCTAAATTGTGTTCTGTGGGAGCTCCAGTAATAAACAACTCTACAAGTCGGCCTTGGTTTGGTTTGGGCCCCCAGCTGAAAAAAAACCTGAAATGACATTCCTGCACCCACTTCCCAAAAGCACTGTTTTCGGTGCTCAATCCACAGGCTTTTAATGTGATGTATATTTTGAAGCTATTTAATAAATGAATTGTTTCGTCTTCATTTAATAGAATTTGAAAAACTTGAACTTACATTGCTTCCTGGGAATGAAAAATGGCGACGTTGACACCCCTTATCGCCGGTTAAGTAAGTAATTTTATTTAATTTCTTTTGTTCTTTGAGGTTTTCTGGAATACATACGCTCGAATGTGTTGCTCTCTTTGAGACTTAATTCATCCCTCCATGATGATTCATATTGATTAGGAAATATCTTAGTGTGATTTTTAAAAATTCGGCCTAAAACTACTTAAACAGCAAATTAAATAATAAAGTAACAGTAAAAATACTAAAATTAAATTTTTAGTTACTTAAGAGTCAACTTCTCCACTATGACTACAGGTATATTCATACTTTTTGAACTTTCTAGACTCTTTTATTTAATTACTTATATCGATTTGTCTCCTAGTGGGCCTACTAGCCTATACTATAATTATAATAAACTATTTACCAAAACCTGTGACTATGATAGTGATAGTATTAGTATGAATACTAAATACTATGATTATGAATATAATGAAAGCAATGAATCAAATGAAAATGAGAACTGGTGGGATTAGGACTCAAGTAGCCTAAGTCTAAGTAGGAGGCATTATAATTAATAATATTATAATGATGTCAATTTTTAAGTGCAAGTCCAGGCCTAGGTAGTCTACCTCACCTTCCATAATCTCATATTTGCCGTACCATTGACAAGTGCATATAATAAATGCTTTATTAAATTAAAACTGTAAAAATCTTCCTATAACTAATAAGTATATATCATATACCAGCCTTAACAAGTCTGAAAATGGTGGCATAAGGCAAGGCAAAGTATTAACTGATGGTGTAACCTCAGCCCCCACCCCCTTTTTTTTCCCACAAGCTCAAATTAATTTTTGTACAAGGAACAAGGTAAGTTGTAAAGAAAAGGTTTTATAATGAAATGCCTCCCTCCAGTGTTTCTTTTCTCATTCATTGATTTGCAAACGTATCTATAGCACTACAAAAAGTTTTTTTCTGCCCACTACCACCAGATTGGAAAAAACTCTTCAGTTGACCAAAAATGCTGCCCTCTCCACATCCCCCTTCCTTCAAAAGTGTGGGGGGTTTTTCTAGGCAGTGGCAGTGTGGATCATCTTGTAGTAGGCCAATAAGGGGTTTAGGTGGTCCATGGTTTGTCAGATTTAATTTGATAGGAGATACTTATACTGGTTAGCTGACAACTAAGTTGACTTTGCTTTCATTCAATAATTGATAGACATTGTTAATGATTATAATTATATTTTATTGGACAGACTTGATTTGCTTTATTAGTAATGTGTTTGTTCTTATGTTCACTTCCCTATGCCTATTGACATATATTTCATTATTTGCCCTCTAATGGTCTCTTTGTAACTCACCATTTATTGACCGAAAAATGGTAGCAAAGATGTAACAAAAATTTGCATTAACTTTTTTTAAAAACTCCCCAAAAATCTAGACTTCAGACATCATTAATGGATGCACGATAATAACTATGAAACATACAAAAATGCTATTCCAATTGCATTGAATTTAATGCACAAAAATATTAGATTGTCATTGGGAGGGCATATTTGTATTAATGATTGACAATCATATTGATCATATTGTGTCATTAGACATTGTTGTTTGTTTTGATAGACTCAAAACAGCCATCATCATAATTACTTATGATTATGCCATGCCTAGACAATCTAAATTAGGCCCATTTGGTGTCTTTCTGAATTCTAATTTCTGTAAAATGTCCCAAAACATGTCTGTATTTACTGTGATATATTGGTTGTATCATTGGGTTGGGCTATTCTTCTATTTTAAAAACGTCAACATGCTGATAGCAAATACCTAGGTCTAATGAATAACCAATCAATTAATTTCAAATGCTTCTTTTTTTAATATGTTACAAATAATTATCAGAGTACACTTGTTCATTCTTCCCACAATGTTTATTAAAAGATGCCTCTGAAGAGGAGCTAGCAAGCTTGTAATTAATAAAAAGGGCTCAAGCAATACAATCACTAATCTGGTTAATGATTGAAGCTAGATTAAAATATTACTAATGATTGAAGCTAGCTTACAATATTACTGTAAGACTCCTAAAACGCTAAATTTTATCCTAACTTCAATTTACTTTAACAGTATGATAGTTGGTATGAAAATAAGTAATTCAGTGGATATGTATACTTGGAGTTCTTTGGTTTTGCTGCAGTGAAAATTAAAATAGCAACAATATCTACGTTGAATTGATTTAATGCTGGACATGGCTTACACTTACGTTTAGTTGGCCTAAATTAAAACATTTTAAGCAATCCATTTAACATTTACTTAGAGCCTTGTTGATGACGGTTTCATTTTCTAAGAGCTTTTGAAAATCATGTCTATTAATAACAATTCAAATTTTCATTCTTCAGTTTCATCTAGTATCCAGGGTGACTTGATTTGCTGACTTTAAATCATAAACCATTCACAATGATTGGAGGGCTGTTTATTTACAATCACAAGGGAGAAGTACTGATCTCCAGAGTATTTCGTGATGATATTGGGTGAGAATGGTGTTCACTTATTGTATAAGACTTTTAATTGCTGAATTGTTTTCTCTCAGTTCACATTAAGGTTTCATTTTAAGCGACATTTTTTTTATGGTAATTATTTTACATACAAATAATACCTTCTCGGCTTTTGTTGATTGTACGTTGGGTACTAATGTTTATAAACATCTGTTTGTACACAGGCGCAACGCTGTGGATGCCTTCCGGGTCAATGTTATTCATGCACGCCAGCAGGTGCGCTCCCCCGTAACCAACATCGCCCGGACCAGTTTCTTCCACATTAAGAGATCTAACATCTGGGTGGCGGCTGTAACCAAGCAGAATGTCAATGCTGCCATGGTCTTTGAGTTTCTCCACAAGATGTGTGAGGTCATGGCCGCCTATTTTGGGAAGATTTCGGAGGAAAACATCAAGAACAACTTTGTGCTCATTTATGAGATTTTGGATGGTGAGTGTGAGGCTGCTTGAGTCAAATTTTTAATTGTACTTTGATATTTATTGACCTGCGTTGCTTACATTTTGGACGCTGGTGAAATTCTAAACTAAGATGGAGATATTTATTAATATATCATCTAATAGCATTTCAGCTTTTTAAGTTATAGTTATTGGAAGCTTTTTCTGTAAAAAAAAAAAAAATGTAATTATTTTGCAGTTGTACATCTAGACTATACATTTTTGAATACTGATTTTTAAAAGATCCGTGCCTAATAATGTAATTAAGGTATTTAATATTTTATTACTTGTCTGCTATAACACTCTCATTCAATATTTTCAGAGATCTTGGACTTCGGCTATCCTCAGAATACTGATGTCGGCATCTTGAAAACATTTATTACTCAACAGGGTGTTAAGTCTCAGGTATGCCTAATGTTGTTTTTTTTAAATATATGATCTTGTCATTTAAAATCTTTTCTAAATTCAGCATGCCCATCAATAAGTATTATTATTATTTGAATTATGAATTTTAAAATAATTTTAGTGTTTATTCCTTATGTTGTTTTATTTTTAAAATTAGACAAAAGAAGAGACTGCACAAATCACATCCCAGGTGACTGGACAAATTGGGTGGAGAAGAGAGGGTATTAAATACAGGAGAAATGAACTTTTCTTGGATGTTTTGGAATCTGTTAATTTACTCATGTCCCCTCAAGGTATATATGAGAAGAAACAAACAGCTAGTGCATTTACATGCAGTAACATTACAGAAATAAATATCCATTTCAGGTATAATATTAAACATAAAACAGTGAGATTTTCTTACACAGCTACACTTAGTTTGTCTGAACAACTCTTTTTGATATCTTTTCCATACATGCATTGCTAGCTGATGTAGCCAATTGTCAATTTTTTTTATATAGGCCAGGTGCTTAGTGCTCATGTGGCTGGCCGCATTGTGATGAAGAGTTACCTTAGTGGGATGCCCGAGTGTAAATTTGGCATCAATGATAAAGTTCTCATGGAGAGCAAAGGGAAGAGCAGTTTGGATGACACGGCTCGTGGTGGCGTGTAAGTATGCGCAGTTTGTGAAGCTCACTATTATTTGAGAATTATTTCTTTTCTCTGCAAAATTTAGTTGTTTTTTTTCCTTTTGAAATGTCATTTTATGAGCACCAATGTTTCTTTTTTTGGGAGCAACAATGTGATTTTATGCCTTTGTCTTTGCATTAGCACCGCTGGCAAGACATCTATAGCTATTGATGACTGCCAGTTCCACCAATGTGTCAAGCTAAGCAAGTTTGAAACGGAACATAGCATCAGCTTCATTCCTCCTGATGGCGAGTTTGAGCTTATGAGGTGAGCAGACATGAGTTTTTTGTTTTTTTTAATGCGCCAAGTTCACTTGTTGCTCGAGCTGTTGGATTCTGTGAAAATAATTTAGAGTACAGGGTATAAAGGTGTAAGCCTTTTCAAAGGCCGATGTGTGAAAAAGATTTTTTTTATTATTTAAACTCTGGTGTGAGTTTAACAACAGCATCTTTCTCTTTTGTGAAGTGTTTGATGATCTTAGTAATTTTTTTTTTAATTTCATAGTGGCATGATTGTGGAGAAGATGGCAATGTACTTGGGAATTACTGATTACTGATACAACAATCTTGCTGTCATAAATTCTTTTTTTTTTTTATTATTATAAAGAATTTTTAAAAAACTAGCATATTATCAAAATGTAGATTCATGGATTCTAAAACCTTTTTTAAAAAACAAAAAAAGCTCTCTGAAGGAAATTGTGTCTGCTGTATAAGGCTTTTAGCTGAAGCGTTCTCATTTTATTTGTCCTGTCTTTATATTTCAAGCCCCGCTGACTTTGCTCCACTATTTCCTTGATATTTCTTATAGCAGAATTTCTCCAGTCTTTTATGTTTTTTATTTTCAATTATTTAAAACTTAAAACAGCACTTTCTATGAGCGATGTGTTCGTTTTTTTCTTCAAATTTTAATCTTTGCTCCTCTAAGGTATCGAACAACTAAAGACATCAGTTTGCCATTCCGTGTGATCCCTTTGGTTCGTGAAGTGGGACGTCAGAAGATGGAGGTCAAAGTTGTTGTCAAGTCCAATTTCAAACCTTCCCTGCTGGCCCAGAAAGTGGAGGTATATTTTTAATTGAGAAATAATTACAAATAATATTTTAATAATACATTAAACTCATTTTAAAAAAATTGAAAAATTTTGAGACATTGTTAATTTTATTTGACATAATTTTTAATTTTATTTGACATAATTGATTTGTTGTTAGGTTCGCATTCCAACACCTCTTAATACCAGTGGTGTCCAAGTCATTTGTATGAAGGGCAAGGCCAAATACAAGGCTAGTGAAAATGCCATTGTGTGGAAGTAAGTGTAATATTTTTTACCCTTGACACCTTTGTTTCCAATTAAACGGTGGGATATTTAGAAATAATATGACACCGTACTTGTAACTTGTTCCTCATTGGTAAGGTGAAATATGAAATAATATCGGGGGTGGGGGTGTTGTCAGTGTGCACGCTGTTGCAACCAGCAGGAATGAGTTAAAATTGCATTTAGTATTACAAATATGGTGATTAGTATTACAAATAAATATGCTTAACCACTTAAAGAAAGGGATGGTTCCAAGCTAAATTCACTAATGGCTAATAAATTAAATATACTCAGTTCGGTTTAAGTAACTATATGCTTTTGGTTTAAGTAACTATGCTTTCTCTGGATATATTTGGATAGAGACACTAAGCTATAAAGTCTTATTGTAAACCCTAATTGTTTTTATCCTAGAATAAAACGTATGGGTGGCATGAAGGAATGTCAGCTGAGTGCAGAGATTGAGTTGTTGAATACTAGTGACAAGGGAAAGAAATGGACCAGGCCTCCAATCTCAATGAACTTTGAGGTAAATAGACATTACAATTCTGTTAAAATAGATACGAAATATATTGCAAAAGTAAAGTCATCTTTTTTTTCATCTTCTGCTTAGCTCATATCAAATGTTTCTTGTCTTAGTGAAGTGTGACAATAGTAACCAGGGATAAATGCTATTCCTTGAACTAATTACATGGTTTTACATAAACTAAAATTCTAGTTTTTATAAGAAAATTAACTTAATTGTTTGTGAGGAAAAAAGCTCGACAATATTTACAAATAAGTGATAACTACCTGCTATCAAATATTTTCATATTATTATAAAGGATCACCATCAAGTGTTCCTATTGCCTTATCATGAGAAGTGATCAATTTAAATATTCTTATTACCTTCTCATAAGAGGGGAATACATTAAAAAAATAAATTACTAATTTTTACTCTAACCTTGATGTAGTCCTGTGCATAGCATAAAAAAATATTTTCTTATTTTATCATTTCTAGGATAAATTATATCTTCAATGCAAATGGAAAAATGAATTCTATTGAAATACTGGAGTTGTTTTTGTATGTTACTTGTAGCTATGTCTTCCAAGCAGTGTTGCATATAGCACTGGATGAAACTCTCTTTAAAACCCTCACACATGTTTTCTCACAGGTTCCATTCGCTCCATCAGGATTTAAAGTTCGCTACCTGAAGGTTTTTGAGTCCAAGATGAACTACAGTGACCATGATGTCATTAAGTGGGTGCGCTATATTGGCCGCAGTGGGCTTTATGAGACAAGATGCTAATATAATCTACTGGACTTAATGAGGCAACATGCTCATATAGGACTAAGAAATTAGGTTCAATATATATATTTATTTATCTGTCCATTCCCATTATTTTTCTGCAATGGTCTACTTAAGAAAAGTTAGGGCACTTTCCAAGTTTGGGTAAGGTTAAAAAACTTCATAGTTAGAAGTGTTAGAATGGTTGTAATGTCACAACAAAGTGAGCTCAAAGCGATATATAACCAATGAGTGGTTAGTTTAGTTGATCGTTGGCTGTGGTACTCTTAAAACAAGGTAACTGATTTCATGCTGTCTGCGTTGACTAATGAGATTCTAAAACTACAGATTGTTCCCATTTTGAAGGGCGGAAGATTTTTTAATTGAACTATTCTCTGTGTGTCGTTACTTCAGTGTATCCTAGGCTAGTTCTTGGTCTGTTTCCTAAGTGTTATGCAGGAAATTTAGATGTTTGATTGTAAAGATGTGTAGTTTAACAGAATTTGAACAACTTGAGACTGAGACACTGTGTGTTGTGTCTGTAGGTGCCCTGTGGTTATGATTTGAGAATTAGATTCACTGTGTAGCTCAGAATTGTTGTAGTAAGGGCAACTGTCTTGACCTGCGCTGTGCCCAGATGAATGGATGTTTTACCTGACCTGTTTTATTTGGGGACCCAATCATATCTTGTTTTTATTTCACTTTGTCAGTGTGTGTGTCTGTAGACACGAGTCGCTTCATAGCATCAGGTGTGAAGCATTCTTTTAATGATGGCGAGTATTGGATCATTCTATTTTGATGATGTCATTAAAAATATATTTAATGGTTTCCACTCACCTTTATATTTGGACATTGTTTACAGTCATTTAGAATGTTAGAAGCCATTTTCTATTTCCCATGAGCATTATTTCAGCTTGACTTCAGTCCTCTCTACATCAATTAACGTAAAGTTAATTTGCTTACTTCCCTTTTATTTAACTCCCTTATTAAAAAAAAAGAAATTAGAATTTATTTATTTTTTTCCTTATGGATTTTTATTTTCATTGCTGTCTTGTAATAAAAGGATATTACCACTAATAAGACTTAACATTTTTATCACTTCCTATCAAATCCATTCCTAATTTTTAACTTGCTAACCAAGAAAAAAAACTAAGCGGCTGTTGGTGGCAGTTGATGAATACTTCCCTTGTGTACATTGTGCAATACTCATATGACATATTTCGTTACCTTTGCTAGGGGACTGTTTCTAAATCAGCGCTCTGCGTGTTTACTCAGTCAAATCTAATGCTGAAGTATTTTTATGTTGTTTTTTTTCCTCTTTCTCAAGACTACACAAAATTTGAAGCATAAACTCCTTTATATGCCACCATATCTCTTGTAATGAGATTAGAAAAGAGTTAAAGTTACACAATTGGAGCACTGTACATTTTTTGTTTATGTTGCAACCAGTTAACATACAAGTACTTTTTCTACAATGATAAGACTTAATCAGTGCACTGTGTCTAGATTGATAGAATTCTCACAAGATAAAAATGTATTTTACTGAATAATAGCATTGTCTTTTTGTTTTTAATTTCCTTATAGAAACTTTGAACCATGTACATTTCTACTGCATATTATTGATGTAATTCCCCGTGTACATTGTGGCTATGACTACACCTTGACTTATCAATGTTCTGTGTATTACATGCATTTATATAACATAGTTATTAAATGATTTCATCATACCTGCCTGAGGTTGTCTATCAATAAACTGAAATAAGCTGTTCTACAAGTTACAAGCCTGCTTTGACTACCACAGGCTGGTTTAGAAATTAGATAGTGCGCTTGTTCTTGGGGATTACTTAACCAGCAAATGGAAAAGTATTTGAAAAAGTCGCATATTAAAGATACTGAGTATTAATGTGTTAAAATGGAAAGAAGAAAAGAAGGATTGTTAGTGAATTATGAACAGAGATGTGGAGGTTATCGAGACAGTCTCAGAGGTGCTCCTCAAGGGCTCTGTGCTACTGCTAGTGTTGCTGTCACTTGATATTTTAACTTGGAAGTGTATCAAAGACGCCCCTTACCCTACACAACATGTTTTCTACACCTTTTTGCATGTGCAATCTGTGGTATCTGATCATTTCAGTAGTTCTGTTACATCTACTATCTATAATGTCAAAATTGATATATTATTAATATTATCGTTAATAATCATTTTCATCTAATGATTTCAACTTTTGTTTCCACCCTCAGAATAGTTTAAGAACCCCTGACCAACACTTGCGCATAATATCAGGAAGCTCTCTCTATTAATTAAATCGACAGGATGCAATATTTTATGTTATTCATCATGTATTCAGGCATCTTTTCCCAGGATTAACTTTTGAGAGTTAGCTCAAGTCAGGTCATACACAACTTTCATAGCAATAGTCTACAGAAATCTCTTAAGATTCACTACAACATGTAGAAGACAATAACAGGCCTCTTCAACCCAGAACAACACCAGGCCTTGTCAACCCAGTTTACAGCAGTACATGTTAGCACCAGAGCACGTGGCATCCAGCTTTTGAGGACAAAATATCCTGGAGAATGTAGAGAGGCACTGTCCACCATCTTGGCTGTCACATGACGGTTGGGCACGAGGAGCCAGTATGGCATCTGGTGGGAAATGAAACATGGTCATACACGTCATAGTTCCATTAATACATCAACAAGTGGGGAATTAGTCACACATGCCAGCATTCTTAGTTAAACACACTCAGGGACAGTCGGACGTAACTCTGCCATCATCTTCTTTTAAAATTAAACTTGGTGGTGTCACTGTTGTATTATCTTAACCAGTGGTTCCCTAAACCATGAGCCGCGGGTCCCTCGAAAGTGCGCCACTAATCAGTAGATCATTATCATAATTTCTTTCTGCCTTTATTTCAGAGTGATGATAGGACGCGTCATCTAGGGCCCCTGGTGCAAACCAGTAACTCACTAAGTAATAACTCTTTGACATGAGCCTCTTAATACGGTTACTAGAAGTAGAGGCCGCTTTGTGATCCTTAAAAAATGTATCTTATTTATTTTTAAGCCGAGTGATCGGCGACCCGCGTCTCCATTTAAATAGTCCGCCCGTCTTTGCGGCTGCCAAAATATTTTCTTAGCAATAGATATAAGTGTAATATATAAAAACGGCTTCTCACTCAAAGTTGCCTTCAACTGCAAAAACAAAACAAAAATGTGTAATACCGGTATGACATTGGACACCTTTGGTCAAACGGAATGCAGCAATTGGTATTGGAAGTCTATAAAGTTTAGGAACCAGTGGTCTCATGGTCTAACCTTAAGATGACCTACTAGTGTTATGAAGCTTGCAGCAGTAGTGAGAGGAGCTGTCACAGGAACCCGTGAGTTTTTGCGGACAGTGGATCATGGACATCACGGACAGACAAGCCCCACCTTGTTCATAACATGGCAGCGCCGAGGGCTCTTGGACCTGGCGCTTCATCGTATCTGCAAAGAAAATGATTTCAATTTTAGTCGTCTACCTTTTTTGACGAATATTGTATTACTTAAAGATGGCGCTAGAATAACAGATAACATCATACCAAGCTGGCCATTCTTATAGATAGATTTAAGGACTTTATATAACCTTATTATTATATACATTAAGGTTAAACTCTAAATTTGACACAATGAAACATTCCGACAACTCCTGCCATACCACTGGTGCCAAGCTGTATCATCCACATAAGATGTTCGCTGGGGTTATCCAGCGGCGTGGAGAGAGGTGATTTGCTGTGTAGGGAACCAGCTCATAATCTTAAAAAGATAAGAATAATCCCAGGCCTTGTGGGTTTCGTCTTGCGAAGTCTACACCATCGTCACATTGGGACGGACGGATGCCAGCAAACAAAAAAAAAAAAAAGTAATAGCTTTGATCAGAGCTGTCGCGTGGCGTGACTTTTGGGGGGCCTCTAGCCACTTTTCACTTTTGTGCCCCCAACAGATTCAAAGTTGATATGTCTATATAAACTATATTTTTTCTACATCACGGCTTAGCACCCCTTAAATGTCCGAGCCTTCCCGACTGTCGCAGGGCCCGCACGCGACGGCTCTGGCTTTGACATAAGACTTAACAGCGGAAGCTTACCTCTGACGTCCAATGTCCACTTACAACAGAAAAAGTTGTCACTTCCGCAAGAGACGTTGACCTCGTGAAAACAGGCTATGGCCGCAGCCTTGAAGATACACGAGCCCCCAACTTTCGTCTCACAATCGGAGTCTTCGGTGGCAGCTGAAAGAAAACGACGCAATCAACCCTTCTCATTTAAAAATAATCATAAAAAATATTATCCCCGCCGTCCTGCTTGTGATGATCAATGAGGTAAAAATCGGCCGGTGGTTCAAATGTTGTCAAATTGTTGAAATGGTGCCAGTAACAAAAGAACATAAACATGTTACAAACAGAAATTTTCAACTGAAAAATTTGAAATAATGTGTTGTCATCGGCAACGAGTCTATGTGCCGAGTTTCAGCTCGATAGGTTGACGGGATATGGGTCAGTTAGCCGTCCGAAGATTTTTGCCAGCCACGAACAAAAGCGAAGTTAATATAAAGGATTTTAAAATGTTAATGTTTTGCTTTGTAGTTGTTCACAGCACCACCATTGATAAAGGTTTTAAATTATATTCGCCTTTTAACTTAAGAATACCATAATTTAAGTCCATTTAGTTAAACGCCGCTAACTAAGCTCGTGGAAGCGCAAAAATGTTACACAAATACATTACTTGGTCTGACCTTGGGTAAGCACCGAGCATGTCCAGAATAGGAGCGTGCATGATAGAATATAACTAAACATTTTTTGGTTCTCTCGGGTTGAATGATCCTCGACACAATAAAACTACGAACGGCAAAAAGATAATCAAAAGAATTCAATGTCTGCATCGCTGCTAAGGTTTAAATCTGCAGGTCCAAACTTTTTCTTTTTTTTTTTAAATTATTTTAATTGCTTATCTGTGATGTAAGCCTTTGACTCTGAAATAAGCCTGCATCAAGATTGTAGTGAACGAAATCATTAATAAGACTTTAGAAACAGACATGTGACCAAGATTTATTTATTTTTTAAGCAAAATATTTAAATAACATCCCCCTTTAAAAAAATAATATCACACATGCAGTGACGATATGAAAAGGTGGTCTATTTATTTATTTAGGTATTTGTATATAGCGCTTACCTTAAAGCTCTAAGCGCTTTACAATTATTAAAAACATGTAAACTAACTACAATAAACTACCTCAGGCGCCACATTTTTCTTCACATTTAGGAGCGGAATTTTCGGTAAACTGCGGATTATTAAATTTTGTTTTCGTTTAATCAACATGTAGAAGATGCGTACAACGAAGCCCTTGTAGCAAAGCTGCGCAGTAGGCCAACAATAAAACACCAATCAAGATTTTCCTGCGAGAAGTGCATTTGAGACTTGCCTCTGTAGGGTCGGCATCATCAGCCGCTCGATGACGTGCAAATAACACAGAGGCTACCTCATGGAGGCCATCGTATAATATTAAACATAGATGCGAAATGCATGTTTGTGTTTAGATCCATGCTGTTGATTTTTAATCAAAGTTATGGCAGAGAAGTTGGGGGGTGGGGGAGCGATATCCTCTTTCAGGAATAGCTAATATAAAGTGTGCACAGATCCAACAATAAAGAGCCTGACAGGCGACCATAGCAGTTTCCGTGAGATTTAAAAAGCTCCTTGGTGACTTTGTTTAAAATGTCAAACGGTGAGACCAGGCTACCGAGACATGTAAAGATGCACAAATAACGTCAACCGGTGAGACCAGGCTACCGAGACATGTAAAGATGCACAAATAACGTCAACCGGTGAGACCAGGCTACCGAGACATGTAAAGATGCACAAATAACGTCAACCGGTGAGACCAGGCTACCGAGACATGTAAAGATGCACAAATAGTGTAATTTACAGCAAACAAAAATTTAAATAAAAATAACCCATATCCGACAATACTAAAAAAAAAATTATCGTGGTTAAAATATTTGCTCCAACCTTGAACCCTCGTATGAGTTGACGAGACGTGAAGAAGAGTTTAAACAAGTTAGTAAAATATAAAAAAAAATACTGTATTTTCCACCAGATGGCGCTATGCTGTTTCAAGGTGACCTGATTCGCGCGTTTACTGTAATCTGGTGACCGGTTTGACTTTCTCATATGACATAGATGAAGATTTGCCCTCAAATGCCAGATACATTAATTTATTTCTAGCGACTTATTTTATTATAATTCTTCTTTTTGTACTGTCGCTAATGTTGTGTGTTTTCTTTTGGTTTTTTGTTTTTTGTTGTTTTTTTTTAAAGTAAAATTATGCACATCAAAACAACAACAACAAAAATCCACTTCGACAGTAAGTCTTCAACAACAACACACACAAAAAGGCAGCCATGCATTAAAACTATATTAAGGAAAAGAAACTAGGTCTATTGAAATTTTCTTTCATGACTTGTCTAGAAAATAATGGTTCCTATAATGATGAGCAAGATTCTCACTATCTAATCAATCGTTTACGGCAATCATTTTTAATGTACCCCCTCTTTTGGTCCCTCGAGACATTCATGATTTAATCAGGGCCTCAAACTTGTGATCTTCCAAGTTGTTCGCTTCGACCGACAAGGATATATATGATATATTTATTATTATATGATTGATATAAGATGTGTCAATGTAATAACAAATATCGCTTATGGTGATTAATGTATTTGTCAAAAATCCCCTCGACCCTCAAAATCGTCCTCGTGCGCCCCTTAAAAGTATTCGAAATTGACCGCATCCAGCTCTTGAACATCGTGTGGCCCTTCAGTTGGGTTGTGTTTGGGTCCTTGATTTGGAAAGAAAAGCCCTTTTTGACGGAAAACAGCCACATACTGTGTCCTCCATCACGACCATTCCCTATCTGTCAATACTAAGAGCACGGCCGGTGGCTCATGATTTCACATCGCCCGTCGTGACGAGATCAAATTTAATTGTCGTTGACCGCCAGCCTGCTGTGAAGCCGCAATCACGGCATTTCGGAGTACTATATTTTAACTCCCAGTCCTGCAGGAATAAGACGGCCGAGGTGTGTGATCTTGTCGTGGAGAGCAGGGCCGACCTTGTGTTCATTACCGAGACGTGGTTTAAACGTGTCGGAGATGAGGTGAAGCACTATATTTTAACTCCCAGTCCTGCAGGAATAAGACGGCCGAGGTGTGTGATCTTGTCGTGGAGAGCAGGGCCGACCTTGTGTTCATTACCGAGACGTGGTTTAAACGTGTCGGAGATGAGGTGAAGCTTCAAGAAATTACACCTCCGGACTACGTCCTTCACTCTTGCCCACGGCAGTCGAGCAGTGGTGGTGGTATTGCCGTCCTTTACAGGAACTCCCTTAAAAACAGTGTGGCCTTCTCAAAATCGGACGAGTTTGTTTCATTTGAAATGTGCAAAATGCAACTTGATTATGGTGAACAAGTGATGACATTTCTCTGCATATACAGGCCACCTCCAAATAAGCAAAATAAGTTGAAGATCTGTCAGTTTACTGTGGAGTTTATACAGCTCCTTGACATGTATGCCACCAGCAACAACAATGTCATCATAATCGGCGACATAAACTGCCATTTCGACTCCACCACCGACAGCTACGTGAAGACCCTAAAATCAGCTCTTGACACACACGGAATGACTCAGCTTGTCAGTGTCCCGACGCAGAAGCGAGGTCACATCCTAGATTGGCTAGTTGTCAGAGAGGACCGGGCAGCTATGATCCAAAACCTCATTATTGAGGACAAACTTATTTCTGATCACTTCCCGGTCGCCTTCGACTTTGACTTGAGGAAGCCAGAACGCCTTCTGCGATCAGTAACATCCCGTAACCTCCGACAGATAGATCTAGCGGCCTTTAGAAGTGACGTCGCAGCCCTTGAGTGCGGTGTAGATGACCCTGCTAAAGACTACAACAGTCGCCTCAGAGTCATTTTAGACAAACATGCACCACTGTCCACACGGCGAGTTACGGACCGCCCTTCCGCCCCTTGGCTCACGCCCGAAATTAAGGAAGCGAAGCAGAAGCAGCGACGTGCAGAACGCCAATGGCGGAAGTCGGGCTTGACTGTGCACCGACAAATCTTTGTTGACCACAGGGAAGGAACCAAGAGGTTGGTCCTTGCAGCTAGGACTGAGTATGTTAGTCATCAGATTACAGGCAGCGGCTCAAGCAAGGACTTATTTCGCATTGTAGGTCAGCTGACCGGTAAAAACAAGGCTACATCTCTGCCAAATAACATTGCTGTAGAAGAGCTGCCAGACGCTCTAAATGACTACTTTATTACAAAAGTTAAGAGGATCAGAGCGAAACTTGACAGTTGCATCGATATTGCTCCAGAATTCTCAATATTCAACGGTTCTTCTATGGCTGAATTTGTTGAGGTCAGTGAATCGAATGTGAGGAAAATCCTCGCTGATACCCCAAGAAAGTCATGTTCGCTTGACCCTCTTCCAGCAGGGCTCTTGTATGAATGTCTGGATGAAATAGTCCCCATCATCACTTATATTATAAATCAGTCCTTAACTACTGGTATTGTTCCATCATCTTTTAAAGAGGCAATCGTTACTCCACTATTAAAGAAATCAAATCTTGATCCAAATGTGTTGGAAAATTATCGCCCCATCTCAAATCTACCATTTATTTCTAAAATCTTAGAAAAAGTCGTTCTCCGCCAACTCCAGGATCACCTCACTCAGTTTAACTTGTTTGAACCATTCCAGTCAGCATACAGGGTGCATCACTCTACTGAGACAGCCCTGTTGCGCGTCGTAAACGACCTTCTGTCGTCTTGTGATGAGGGCAAGGTATCGATTTTGTCTTTACTCGATTTATCGGCAGCTTTCGATACGCTCGACCACGGCATATTGCTCCAGCGTCTGCAACAAACGTTCGGTCTCACTGATACCGTCCTGTGTTGGTTCCGATCGTATCTGACTAATCGGGTGCAGTCAGTTATTTCAAACGGCTTGACTTCGAAGAAATCTAATATCGAATTCGGAGTACCCCAGGGCTCGGTCCTAGGCCCAGTGCTTTTCACGATGTACATTCAGCCACTGGGCGCAGAGATCAGGCAGTTTGACATGTTGTATCACATGTACGCGGACGATACACAACTTCATCAATCCGTGATCCCTTCTCAGTTCCCTCAGCTGCTCAGTATGACACAGAAGACAATGGAGTCGGTTAAGCACTGGATGACGATAAACAAGCTCAAATTAAATGATGATAAGACTGAGCTGCTCCCCATCGCGACCGCTCAGAAGCAAAAATCTGCAAATAACACTACATCCATTACTCTCTCAGGTGTGCGTATTGAGTTAGCTCAAACAGTGCGGTACCTGGGTGTCTACCTAGATGGAAGACTAACTTTTGAAAGTCATATTAACATGCTATGCAAGGCGATTTTTCTAGAGCTGCGCAGGATTAGTCACATCAGGCCCTTCCTAACAATTGATGCAACAAAGAGGCTGATGTCTGCATTTGTGCTATCACGCATGGACTATTGCAATGCTCTTATGGTGGGTCTTCCAGCTACGCTCCTGGATAAAATTCAAATAGCACAGAATAATGCGGCTCGCATTGTTCTCCGCAAACGCAAGTTTGACCATGCAAAAACACTTCTGAGAGAGCTGCACTGGCTGCCAGTGCGTGCTCGCATGGAGTACAAAATCGCAACTTTGTGCTACCGCTGCTTACATGACCTGGCGCCGTCCTATCTGAAAGAGCTGCTGACGCCTTATGTACCCACTAGAGAGCTCCGCTCATCCGATAGTGGCAAACTCTCGACACCACGTGTTTGCCTTGAGACTTACGGAAAGCGCACTTTCGCATTTGCTGGTCCACTAATTTGGAACGCCCTTCCTGTCGATCTCAGAAACAACCAGACACTGGAGTCCTTTAAAACCGATTTAAAGACACATCTATTTCGCAAACACCTTCTGGGATGATTGTCAACATTATTTTCCAGTTAATGCATAATGGCTGTGTTGCTTATGGTTGAAATGGCTAGAAAGACTTTGCCATTGTATGCTTGTACTTAGTTTTTGTCGTGTTGCGTTTGTTTTAAATGTGGTAAACTATAGATTTGTTGTTTTTTTTTGACTTTGTACCGCGCTTCGAGCCTTTGGGGATGAAGCGTGTTTTTGAAATGAACTTTATTATTATTATTATTATTATTATAACCATTTCTGTCTTTTCTGCGGGAATATTAGCATTGCACAGAGAAGCACGAACAGTGAGCAGAGAAGCACGAACAGTGAGCAGAGAAGCACCAACAGTGCACAGAGAAGCACGAACAGTGAACGAGGCCATGTAGTGTTGACTGGTTTCTATGGTTACTAGGAAAGGCGAATCATTTTAACACTGTTGGTCGATTTCATTTTTTAACACAGCATCGGGTCTCTTCTCATCAGGTACACGTTTTCAGTTTATCGATTTCCAAGTCATTAAGTTAAGACTAAGAGGTTCCCAGAATTTTTTTTTCGGGTTACGATGCCCTTGCTGCATCCAGGTTCCCACAGGGATCCCCATGTCAAATTTAAACAAACTTACCGTGACGTACAGTATGGAAACTTCTGAATTAAGCATAAATATAACATATTATGCTTGCTTGTGGTGGGTTGTTGTTCCGCGTTGTTCCTTCTTCTCTTCTTCATGAGGTGTCACATTTATAAGGAGAAACATTGTTGTTATTTTTTCTTCGAATCAGAGCCGCCTAGTCTCCCAAGGTTTGATTCTGACATTTTTCTCATACACACACGCACACAAGAAATCTAACACCCATGGCGAGAATTGACTAACTCATAATTATCTTATCATCTACTGTCAGAGGAGTCTGAAGTTTATATATTCTACTCCGACTCTTTGAAAAATGTTTGTATCCCAAATTTGACTCCCAACTGTGACTGCTAACTTTTACACCCAACTTTGACTTCAGACTTGAGCTCCCAACTTTGACACCCAACTTTGACCTCCAGCTTTGACACATAACTTTGGCTCCAAACTTTGACTCCTGAGTTCCTAACTTTGACATCCAACTTAAACACCCAACTTTGACTCCAAACTTTGGCTCCAAACTGTGGCTCCAAACTGTGGCTCCAAACTGTGGCTCCAAACTTTGACTCCAAACTGTGGCTCCAAACTGTGGAGCCCATGTAAAGCTTGTCTTTTTTGTCTATTCCTGGAACAGCCATGTCCTCTTTTATTTCAGTTTACTGCTCAAACGAAACATAACAATGACCAACACATATTTCAGTTCCTTGCCTTGTGAACATTAGAGCAGTAGAGAGCAGCAGAGAGCAGTAGAGGGCAGTAGAGAGCAGTAAAAACTAAATCGATCGCAGGTTGTGTTTGTGTAAACCTCGATAAGTTCAACGCAAGAACTACCAACAAGATCTATAGAACAGTCACAGGAACTACCAACAAGATCTATAGAACAGTCACAGGAACTACCAACAAGATCTATACAACAGTCACAGGAACTACCAACAAGATCTATAGAACAGTCACTGAAATATCCCAACCAAGATGTCAGCCTCTGATACAGATCAGGATAATGAACCAGACGAGAGATTTGTAAGTACTTTTTTCATCGGTGTTGGGTAGCTGTACTGGCCAACAGTTCAACTTACATGTAAGGGTTACAGTGCAGGGGAGATAGCTGTACTGGCCAACACTTCAACTTACATGTAAGGGTTACAGTGCAGGCGTCTCCCCTGACTCTGTGGCAGGCACTACAATTCTAAAGATTGTTTATAGCCTTCCAATCGTGCCACCTTTGGTAGTTGCTCCCATCTGAAGGCAACTTTGGACACACAAAAATATTACATGTTTGAGGTTAGGAAGAGAGTGGATCACAATAGATGATTAACTGCCCGACAGAAACAAGAAGTTTTTGCTCATCGAAGCAGAGATTATTAAGATCGTCATCGGTGTTTTAAGCAGTTCCTAAAGCTGTTTTTACAAAGCCGTTATATAAATGAACAGAGCCGAGAGGACGGCTTGGGGGGGGGGGGGGGCAAAAAGGGTCATCCGTCCCTGGTGCCAACATCAATTGACACCAAGGTCATTAATAACCCATATAAAAAATGTATATGTTTCGGCTAAAGCCCAAAATCGGCCAAATCGGGAAATGGCCGGCCAAATCTGGAAATGGCCAATATCGCCTCACATTGACAGACCAATGTCCGACATTTTCTTGATTTCGGGATTTGGTTGGTCAGTTTGCGAAATGGCAAGGGGCGATCGGTCATAGCCGGAAGAAAAGGGTCATGAGCAGATTTTGGGTGTTAGTATACCGTAATGATAATCACATTCTATTGATTTTTAATGATACTAAATTACCAAATCAGTCAAATTAGTTTATTATAGTAAATTATCAATTTCTATCATCACTTGTTGCAACAAGATGAGCTTTTATGATATTTTGAATTACACAGCAGTTTGTTATTTTTAAATTTCCAATGATTCGTGAAGCACATGATAGTACAATTGCATCGAATGATCACGTTTCTTTGCCTCTAGAACTAACCTAGCAGCTGAGTTTTGATCTTTCTGCAGTTTTTCTACGAAATGTTATGGTGAAACTGACAGAAGAGACTTACAATAGTCAAAACTATTGAGAACAAGAGCAAAGACTAGTGTTTTTGTTGCGCTAACTGTGAGGTAGTGGAGGATAGCGGTGTACGCAGAGCGACAGATGTGAGAAATATGATTATTGAGAGACATGATGTCAGAAAGAATATAACCAACGCCGGCTTTAGGGAAACTTTCGCCCTGTGCGAAGCACCCGTACGGCGACACCTTCCCTAATTTCCACGGCCTTTTGGTTGGTCCCAGCCCCATTGTTAGTATCCACATTAAGAATGCAACTTTCATTAAATGAAAACTCATTGCATGAAAATTGGATGTACGAAAAGTTAGAATTCCGTTTCTCGAACCCCGGACTCGAGGTTTACATTTCTCTATAATAAACTAAGGGAATTTAAATATTTACTGGGCGCCCCAGTAACCCTAACCCCTATGGCCACGGCACCCTGTGCGAGGGCACAGGTCGCACACCCTAAAGGCCGGCCTTGCAAGTTTATGAATTAGTCTGCAAGTAATTTTCCATCCGTACCTTTCGTCTGCTTCATTACTTAATCCACAAATTGCGTGGACATCGTTGCTGCAGGATCCATCCACAAGAATGGGCTGAATAACACACTCTTTCATTCAAACATTACACATAATCAGTTCGCATTGTTAACAGTCTTGCATTGAATATTGGTCAGGGATTTCCCGGCACTTCGGGAAGTGGCCGGCCAAAGTAGCAGATACACTGGCCACTTACAGTACATCGGACATTGGCAACACGCCTCGGCCAAAGTGCGAAATGGCCGGCCAATTCGGAAACTGGCCAAACTTCGGGCTTCGGCCGAAACATATAAAAATAATATATATATATTATAAAATTTATTGATGAACTCTGGCGCAATATTTGGGATTCGCCCCTGGCGTAGATTTCTTTTCACACGGCCTTGTATTTGGATGTAAAAAAAAAAAAATTATTATTATCTAGATTTGAATATTATTGACTTATCATAATAGTTGTGTATATGATGTCAGACACGGGATTCCGTTAGAATTCTAAAACAATTTTCTTTCAAAAATGATTCACATTATGCCCTGTGTATTTTGGGATGTGTGGGATTGAGAGAACTTGAGATGATAAAAGAGATGGGGATAGAAGGTGTGTGTTTGTGTGGGCTGTGAATTCTAGATGCACTCATTATACATGAGGGGTGTTTATGTTTTTATTTAGACACACGTGACATGTGGACCAAGACCAAACATTCCTTCAACAGTTAATATGTTGCCAGATAGGCTAACCTTCAAAAATACTTGAGATAGGAAAAACAATGAAAATGAAGTACAAATTTTTAAAAAATAAATAAAAACAAGAGAAAGGCCGTAGATCTTTGTCTTGAGGCAAACGTCACCACTGAAGGCTACCATATCTTATATCTAGTGTCATGTTGCGCTAACATAAAGGGACAACATATTTCACGAGACCGGAGGTGACTCAGTAGGCCCTACCAGCTGCGCAAGAAGAGTGGTATAAAAAAAGGGGGTGACAAATTCTATCAACTGCACAGATTTTTAAAAAAAAAATGTTTGCTGGAAGGGGACTGAATAATTCTCGGCTAGCCCCAAGTGGCACTACCCTTGCTACGCCACTGATTTCCATTATCAAATTTAGAATCAGTGTTGCAACTGATAATATGTGATTTAAACGAGATAACTGATTGCAATTAGTTGATGGCAAAAATTTACGAATGATTCTGACAAATAAGAGGACGAATTGCCATCACCGGGTCATGGCTAACCTCACGCTCATTTTTGTTATTACCTTACTGATTTTTTTTTTTTTTAACGGTGGGGAGTCTCGGAACCTCTGATATGAAGAAACATTCAGATTCTCTACTGACTCTACCCCCATCCTCCACCTCTTTAATTTTTTTTTATATAAGTTAGCTTCTATTAAAATTACCTTTTGTAACCGGGTCAAAGTAGAAATAATGTCATTTTCCTTGTTAAATTTATAATTTTGATAACTTTTTATCTCCACCAGACATTTTTCTGTGAAATGAGTATGCAAGAGTTCGCTTTTGGTGTCGGTGCTATTGGAGTGAATGCCCTTTGCCTCGGAATGATGTTAAATATCCCTACACTGACTTTGCACAATCTTATGTATAAAGTTGCCCCAAAGGTATCAAGGTCCTACTAAAATACTTTCAATTAATGACTGTGTATGGCATAACCTAAGTATTCTCTTTAACTGCTGTAACAAAACAATATCATTTTTTTCTCTTCTATTTAGATATATTCATCATTATTGAGTTGAGCAGTAATAATGGCAGTAACTCATTTTATATTTCAAATTATTATTTTTTTTTAAATAAGCTAAATATATTTCATAGACTTATATCAAAGATATATCATACAAAAATCGCATATTTTTTCCTCAGAAATTTTCTAAGTTTATGTTACAATGTTGCATTTGCTTCATTGCAATAGGGCATTCTGCAACCAGACACAACAGACCAAGAAAGAATTGGTGTTGCCAAGGCCATTATTGACTTCTGGTACAACAAGACCAGTACATGGAAGCCGAAACAGCGGTTCAAGTGTCTTTTTGATGCTTTTGCTACCCTGAGAGAGTATAAGATAGCAGCCCAACTCAAGGAAAGGTTTGAGGTGAGACTTTTAGTCTAATTACCGGTGCCAACAACCGTTATGAGCCTGAACATTTTCTGCATCTGATATAAACAAAAACCAAGTCAAAAGCACCTAAATTCTGTTGCTCTCCGATTAAGTTTAGAAGGATGCAAAACTAAATTCAGGTATGCTCCAAAATGATTCACTGCGTTTTGAATTTACATTCGAAGCCCTCAATTTCTGCAACGACGATTAGTGTGAAAGAAACGGGGTGAAACTAAGCTGGAGCAAAAACAATACCTTTTGGGGCTCCCAACGGAATGAATTCAGGTTATGTATGGCACTGGCAGCCATAATGTCTAATTTTCGTGTTGATAGATGCCCTGCCACCTGCCCATCACCCCAAACATCTGAAATGTCCTCTCTAGATCAAATTTTCTTGTTAAAGAAACACTACATTCAGGTAGTAAGGCTACACGCCGAATTGCACCCTTTGATTTTGAATTTATCAAAATTTTCACGGGAGACCCCTCCCTACTTTCGCTCGGGAGCCATCAGCACCCTTGATTTCTGCCTGCCTCCCCTAATCAAAATGACAGTGTCTGCACTTTTTAAACTAAAAAATATATGCAAAGCCCAGCGGCGTAGACAGCGTTAGTGCTGCTTTGAGCAGGCCAAGATTTTTGCCTCAAAGTTTTGCCTGTGCAACCTTGTTTTAAAATGTGCTTCACATTTATAAAAGCCTGAAGCAGGCACTTCAATGTATTTTTTTTTTTCCCTCAAAACACTCACGATGATCCCATTGATGAAGCACTGATACATTAGTGTATTCGGTAAGCCACTCACTTAACATAAGAGACCCCCATGCGTGTCTTTTATTTATTTTTTAAAAAATAGGCTCACCCACAAAATTCGTCCCTTCCAGCTAGAGTAAAATAATACATTAAAAATAAAAACATACAATATCTAATTCTTACGGATGTCGATGATGAATAAAATATTGCCCTGGCCTACTTACAAAAAGAAGAAAATCGCAACCCGTTTTAGTTTTAGAAAACACTAACATGATAAATTTAGTTGTACCTTAAAAAAACTGTTCTAAATCCTTTATGACTGTACACATTTTAAAATGCCTACAACTCTTACAAAGTACGGGGGTGATAAACCGTACATGTTGGCATGTGTGCAATTGAAAGAAACAAACTTTGATTTCTTTTCTCCAGGCCAACCAGCCCATTTCGCTTGAAATTTTCCACACTTTTGACCTTGGTAGACTGGGAAATTATGTCCCCCCTGCTGTGGATGCTGACTATGAGGAAGAAGAAGCTGAGGATGAAGAAGAGGGTGAAGATGGTGAAAATGATGATGAAGACTGAGCACGAGTCATGTTGGGGACAGATCAGATAATGATTGTTTGCAAAGTTTAATGATACTGTTGGAAAGCTAAACAAATGTGCTGTGTGAAATTGACGGCTCGATAAAAAAGAATTGTTTGAGTGAAATTTAATTTTGTCTTTAAATGAATGTGATATTGAAAGGTCGTGATAACTTTTTTATTAGCATTTTCCAATCTTTGATAAATAGGTTGAATATACTATAGTAATATTTGATTACAATTTTACTTGTTAAATTCACAAAAGAAAGCATTTGAAAAAAAAAGTAGACGTTTTGTTCATATTGAAAAGATACAAATAAACTGACAAATAGTTTGTCTTCTGTTTGTTTAAAGAGTTTTGGGAAATGCATACGTGTTCAAGTGGTAAACAGGACCAAAAGATTGTTGGAATGACAAATGCGGTTTTAAAAATTGGATTCATTATCACACATGAGAATGAGCACCACATTTATTTTTCACTACTTTATGAGCAACAAATCCTACACCGGTATGTGTTCTTCACATTGTTTGAGTACATTAGAAGTCTAATAGAAGTTTTATTAATTTTATTTAGCCATTCCTCAAGCTCAGATATGGTTACTGATTGACCAAAAGTCCCCAACTTCAAAAATACTATTACAACATTAGGTATAAACAATGGTTTCAGAGCGGTCAGCTAGAAATCCAAATGTCACTCATTTATCAATTATTTAAATCTTTTTTTTTTCATACAAGATATTAAAAAAAAACAAAAAAACTTTGTATCAGATCAATAACAAAAGGTAGAAATTCTTTCCGAATGAAACCTCAAGTTACTTGGTTTTTTTGTTATCACACAATGAAGAAATGGTCAGTTTGGTTCTTACTGCATTAAAATTTAACTTCAACACCCCACTGAGAAACAAGAATTTTTTTTGTTTTTTTAAATCAATCATTTTTTTTTTTTAATACTCTACCAGCATGGAAGGGGGGGGGGGGGAAGGAGAGAGATAAGGGTAATATTATTATTAATTATTTTGTGTTATTTCTCATGTTATTTTACTCAACAGTTAGCTAAGAGAAAAAATAATTTGTAGGCAAAAGTTAATTGCATAAATGACCTTGATTTACATTTGCAAGTGTATATGAGTGTCATTTATATTTGCAAGTGTAAATGGATGTAATTTACATTTGCAAGTGTATATGAGCGTCGTTAATATTTGCAATTGTATATTATAATGCAAGTATCATTTATTTTTGTCAGGTTTAATATGAGTGGCATTTATATTTGCAAGTATTGTACGATTATTGAGTTATTATGCTCCTTTATGAACAGAGCTTGTTAGTACCGTATGAGACAGTGAGGCAACTGTTTTTTTTTTTAATTTTTAATGTATTTCTTTTACCGATGACAAAACTGTTTCACTCAATGCAACAGTTGAAAAAAAATCTCTAAACCTTATATTTGTATTTTTAAAAGCTTGCACAAATTTTTATTCATGGATCTAAGAAACCAAAAACATTGATCATTATCATACAAGTTTATTCCACATTGAACATATCACATGAGTTCAGCAATAAACAATCTATGTACAAATGTTGGACTAACTGCAGCGCTATGAGCCACACATACAATTACACAAGGTCATGAAGAATAAATAAATAAATGAAAGGTTTTTCACTCAACCTTCCATCTTCACAATTGTAACATGTTTTTTTTTAAAGATTAAAATGTGATGTCTTGAACTGACATTGTGACTATCCAAATCTAGTTTAGATTTTAATATGAAATAGTTTATCTAAAATCAACAGTATTGAATTTCAACCTCATAATGCACAAAAATAGTAATGCCCACACATGAAAGTTAAATAAGCAAATATAAGATGTGTGCTTTTAAATGATTGTACTTTTTGTTCTAGGACTAAATATTACTACTACTTCTACTACTACTACATGATAAAGCCCATTTTAATAATGGTCTTTATAAGCTATGACTGTTGAGAAATACTTAGAGTAAAATATGCTATTAAATTGATTTAATATTAATCAGTAGCATGGAAGTCCATTTTTTTTTTTTACTTATTATACTTAAAACACTTATATACTTTTTGAATTTTCAAAATTATTCAAATATACGACTTATTTATTATTAGTTAAGTTAGACTTTTTGATACAAGATAAAGCATTCATTTAGTAGTTTATTTATAGTAGTTTCTTTACAAATAAGTTGCGAGTAATGTAATACTTAAGCAAGATTGATACGCAAACTGCACCACCTTAGCTATGAAACTGGCATCAATAAGTTAAATAGCATAAAGATATGGAATGGTAAGTGATGTATTATGGTTTTAGAGCTCATCCTTTTTAAAATTAATCCCAAGAAAAATGTCAAATGATACAAATTAAGTTTGAAAATATCCACAAGTGTTTGGTCCCATCCTAAACACATAATTTGCTTGAATTTACTTTGACTACCATCCACCCAATTAAATGTAATAATAGATTTCTTTTACAGACACATCCAGACTTAAGCTTACAAGATACAAAGCACATTTTCATGTACACATAGGCCATTGAATTTACACTTAAATGAGGCTCCTAAGTTTAAATGTGTCATCCAATGAACATCTCTTTTAAAATACATCCTTCTCTGTTTAGTAACTCATGTCAAAATTGTGCCTGATTTTTTTTGTTTAGTATGCTGTCCTCTTGTAATTGTTCCATTTATTATCCTGGTTCTGCAGTTTCTTGTAAAGTTCAACAGGTTTTTGTTTTTAACTGTTCACTGTATAATTTATAAACAGCACAATTTGCTGCCAGGGATGTTACATAATAAATAAATTCAATGAAAACAGTCAACTCACTAAAAGACAAGCTACAACTCTCACAAGCATTCAGTGACATATGGGGAAGCAGGAAAAATGCTACTTGCACTGGAGTCTTGGGTTTTTCTGTTAATAAAGGAGCTTTTTATTGTAGCAAGAGCATTTCTGTATAGTTCACTGACCGCACATGCTACTGAACTGAGAGCTTGAGAAGGGTTAAATAAAGCTGATCCAGATTGTAGCAAATAAATGGTATTTTTAAAATGAGGCCTTTAAGCCCGTCCCCACTTGCCAATGAAATCTTTATCATTCTTCCAATGGAGTGTTGTTCTCTAACATGATTCATTATTCATTACATAACTTTAAATACAATAAAAAATGTACACATTTTGGACAAGAATGAGGTAAAGTTCCTGACGAACTGACGAATTTATATATCATCATATTTTTTTGTTGAGAATATATATTTATAATTAAAGTATATGTACATTTTTTTTAAAAATAACTTTGCTTGACAAAAACTTATTCAAATACCAGATTAATACAACAGTCAAATTAACATTCACCATGTTAATAACTCTTGAGCAAAAGTTCTATGTATAGTTAAATATAGATGTACATAATATATACATATGCATGGGTGGTCGTGACACATATGGAGACGGGGAAGAAAAAGAAGACAAGAAATTGAAAGTTGTTACTAGATGTTAAATGAAATTCTTGACAATCTCCCAGAAACAATGAATCATGAGGATAAGTAATTCATTTTACATATTTTCTTGTGAGAAGTTCTGTAATACAAAAGATCAATGCTATGACTCAAGGAATCCAAATATATTTTAACCAAGAGATTACAATACATTGGCTTCATGTACTGAGGTAAATAGTATATAGCTTTCGAACTGCATGAGTATCCATACCATATGTCATTCATTAAATATAATTTATTGGTGTCGGAAGTCCACAAACTTTTTGCATATAAGTAATATAGGAGACACAGTGAAGATACCATCTCAGAAGATGGAAGCATTCATAAGTTTCTAAATAATGCTCACCAATGTCAGCAATGGCCTATTTCTAGTTCTAAGATTAAAAACCTTTACTTCTGTAAGTGTAACGAGTGTTCCTGGCTTTTTTTAAATCAATTAAACTAATTCAATAATTCCTGTATAAAAATCATTAAAATTGACTTCCCAGATGCTGTGATAGAAAGTCTGTTATGAGCAGTTTTTCAGTCTGTGCTGAAACTCTTGACTATATGTTCAGCTATGTTTTCTTATTTTGGAACAAATCCACTCAATTCATAATTCATTATGTTCTCACCTCTCTACAGGCGCTTTCTTATTGACTTGAGTAATGAGACTTCAGGTAAACCATACCTTCTTCTTGGTTTATGAACTAAGTCAAAATAAAGTTTTCAAATCAATTTTTTTTATGGACTTACTGCAAACTAAACAACCTTTGGAAAACAACCCTCAAATAGTGCAAGATGCAAACAAAATTTAATGAATAGCAATATATACACTATAAAAAATGGGAAATTATAAGATTTTTAAATGTTATTTCTACACTCCCCCCCGCCCCCCAGTCAGTCCCCATAAACCACCTCTACTCCAGTTATACACTATAAAAAATGGGAAATTATAAGATTTTTAAATGTTATTTCTACACTCCCCCCCCCCCAGTCAGTCCCCATAAACCACCTCTACTCCAGTTGTGGGTTATGACACCTACTTAGCAATGTTAAGCATCACATGAAACGGCCATTTAATTTTGATTTTAAATTACTTTGCCTTTTACTAGCACAAACCAACTTTGGAAATCAATTTTCTAGAATTTAAGAAAGTTATTTTTTGATTGCCTTAGACATACATTTGTAAAAAAAATCAGCTATTTTTCCATTTTTTTCTTCAGAATTTAAATTTGTTTGTGTCATTTATTCAATCTTAGCATGTGTCATGACATTGTCAGACATGCTGTTTTGGTTTTTTAACAATTCAAATAACCAGTTACTTTTCTTTTTATGTGGCAAACACTGTTGAACCTATTTAGCTTTTATTTTAATAGTGCTGTATAAATTGCCAGATGCGTTAAGATGACCACGACCACATTATTTCAATGTTACTGTAAACGTGGCCTTCTTAACAAAGCTGACAAATTTTAACATGCATGGTCCGTTTGAGTGCCCAACACATTTTGTTTAGAAGAAGCATCATTTGTTAGAAAAAAAATATGTTAAAAATTGTACCCCATTGTTAATGAAAGACATATTTTATTTTCATTCATTCACAAAATTATCTTAAAGTTAAAGCCCATTTAAAGAAAAATGTTTTCTACTTTCATAAATGAATCTTGACTGACTATTGTTTTTTTTGTCATAATCCCTAACAAACATCAATTAATCCGACTCTGCAAACTGTTATTCCTACCCAAGAATTTGGTAAGAAACAAGTCAAAGGATGTACAGAACCTTACATTATGTTAAGCAACTGTTTTTTTAGTGTGTTAGTTTCATTCACTGTCTGCCA